CCTAATTCACCCCCAGTCTGCATTTTATCCTCAGTCTGCATTTTATACCCCCAGTCTGCATTTTGTACCCAGTCCGGTCTGCAGTCCGCAGTCTGCAGATTATACTGACCGCTTACGGTAGCCATTAATTTTGGAGGTTGGTAAATTCGTTCTTAATTAAAGTTTTTTGTAACAGGTTAGCGAGAAAACATTTCGACAAGTTTACAAGCGAGATCTTGCTGATTTATGAAAATCCTGAAAAGTTACACTGCGACGCTATACCATGCCCAAAATAAGCAGTTTGTGGAAAAATATTGAAAGCATGTGTGCTATCATACCCTGGATTCCAGAGCCTTCGGCAATAAATAATAAATTGAAACATCGCGAAGGCTCTGGTTCAACGGGAAGATTCTTTGATTAAACTGCGCCAATCACAAAACAGAATTAGTGGTTTTAGTAATTAGTACAGATTCTGTACTAACAGCACTGCACTAATTCTGTTCTGTGATTGACACGGTTTATAAATCAAAGAATCTTCCTGTTGAACCAGAGCTTTCGCAATGTTTCAATTTATTATTTGCTGTCAAAGGCTTTGGAATCCAGGGTAGTGCTATCGTAACAAAAGAGGAACATTTGTTTGCTTTTTGAAATGAAATAGAACATATAATTATATCATTTTAATGACTTGCTTCCGATTTTCAGAGAGGTCTTGGAAACATTACTAATTGTTGATACTTTTGAAATATTCAGCAACTTGCCGATGAAATTTTTATAAAATATTGCCATAAAATATATAACATTCTAAGGCTATATATATATATATTGATACTATTGATACTATAGTGCTGTTCCAACGTACAATAATGTGAAAAAAAGAGATGAAAAAGTTTTTTCATCAAGTGAGAAAAATTTCCGGAGAAACTTTCCAAAATTGTTGTCGCTCCAATATTGTTTAGGTCCATTTTTTAAGTATTTTATAAAGCGTATGCTATGTATGTGCTAAGAAGCTAGTTTTGTTGGCATGTGGAAAGCAAAAGCAGCGAAGGTAAAGAGATTAAAATTGGATTTAGTGCGTATTTTTGAAAAAATTTTACCACCAAATATGGTAGTCCCCCCCGTCGATGACACTTGTGACGTCAGGTACATACGGGACTTTGGGGGCGGGTTTTGGCGGGAAAATCTGTAATGTTTGGAGAAGACAAGATGGCGCTGGTTACCTCGTGTTATATCAAACGGCATTTTTGTTCACAAATACCCGCTTATTTTACGTTATAGCGACTGGTTCGTTTTGGAAATTATAACTGAATGGACGGGGAAAATGATTCTGTATTAAAGAGAAAGTGATGTGCAGTTATTGTGATGTTATTTGTTGTGAAAGACGGCCCGAAATTTCGCTACTTCGCAGTACTGGTTTATAAAACATTTACAAGCAACAGCAATTGAACTATATGACAAAGAAACCAATGTATACAAGCCAGTCAAGTTCTTCAGTTTAAAGGTCTGTTTATTTTTTAATAATTAGTTCATTTAGTTGTACATTAATACGAAGTACTGGAACAGTACACCTAGTCAAAGAATAGGAAGGTATACTTTAAATTTTCAGAGCTTCAGATGCGGCGCTCATTCGGGGGCGGCGCTCAATCGGGGGCGGCGCTCTTTAAAAAATATTTTATTTGTGAATTATGACAAGAACTTTTAACTATAAAATAGACAAGTTTTAAAAGGTTTTTGTTACTAAATGTCCCCATTTTGATACTGTTTAGTGCGGCGCTCATTCGAGGGCGGCGCTCTTTTAAAAAAAATGATCTCAAATGCGGCGCTCTTTTAAAAAAAATGATCTCAAATGCGGCGCTCTTTAAAAAAAAATGATCTCAAATGCGGCGCTCATTCGGGGGGGGGCCCTCAATCGGGGGCGGGTACCCATTGAACTAAAAATAACTGGAACAATACCTCCAGCCGGAAATGTGAAGCCATGCCCAGGCATGCCCACTGTTGTCATGCCCAGTCTTTTCACGTAACAGAAATGAACGCGGGTTTTTTAAATTTCCAAAACTGGGTAAAAAAATGCACTAAAACATGATTTAAAACGACGTAAAATGCACCTACCAGTACATTTTTTACAATAAAAACATCCTTCAAAACTCTAGAGTAAAATATTTTTAATTTATTTATGAAGAATTCATAATTAAATTTACTTTTTGGAAAAAAAACGTTGAGCGAGGAGTGGAGCTTGCCGTGGTCTAATCATAAGTATTTGTGTGAATTTCCCTATTTTGCTCATTCGTTTTCCAATTTATTAGTCTGAAAGTTAGGAAAAAAGGTATTCTAACAAGATCAAACTACCAACCACAGTTTAATTATGTTTTGTAGTAGAGTATTTATTAAGTTTTAAAGGTACAAAATAACAAATATAAACATTAAAGACATTAAGAAATGTCGCGATTATTCACATTCGGCAAGAAATACACAGAACAAGTCGTCAACGAAGGCAAACAAAGTGATAGATACAGATTAAATAAACTTATCTTGTTTAACAATCAATGAAGTTGTTATAAATATATGTTTAATACGTTAAGATAAAGAATTACTTATCTTTCTCAAGTTTCATCTGCATATAAACGTTCCAGTCATTCAAATATGCACTTGTTGTCTCCAATCAGTTACTTTCTTCCTTGCAATTTTAGTCGGTAGGGTTCAAGATATGTTTTAAATACACTTTTAATACAAAAATATAGCTTAAAGCCCTAAGTAAACGACAATTTTCGATCCATTCGTCCGAGAAAAACATTCAGTCACTTCGCCGTAATGGTCTTGCGAGAATGTCTCGCAACACAAACGCGCGTGTCTGGAGGTAGAACACGCGCGGCTGGAGGTAAAATTTGGCTTCATCCGATCATAAGCCAATCCTATTGGAGGTAGCGTTCCAGGTATTTTTACTTCACTGGGTATACCAGAAGCGTAACTCAAGTAAGTATTTGTCCGCGTTTTTACAAGCGATTCGTCATCAATCACGCCATCCTGGCTAGTACAACCGGCACTTTGTACCTACCAAAACCAGTGAACTCTCTCTCTATATATATATATATCTGGAATGATAACAGTGAGCGAAAAGTGAAGCCGACAAAAAAAATCACGACATAAGTATTCGTCATTGTCTTCGTCATCAACTGTTCAAGAACAATCACTTACATATAAAATTTGTAATTGTTTTGAAAGTTTTTATCACAGTTTTTATATCTTTATTCACTTTTAACCTGAAGATGGAGTTATACTACGAAACGTAGTTATTAAAATAATTTTTTACTAAGCCCATATGGTCTAATTTATATTCAAACACACGTACATATTCATTTACATTTTGCTGGCAGGCAAATTCCGATCACACAATAAATTCTTTAAAAAATAACGTACCAGTGTATTGACTAAAAACTATAAAACTGGTAAACTAAAAAACAATTCAAACAATCGTGAAAAATGGCAAAGTCACAGTTGCAAGTCAATTTACCTACCTGTGAAATGAAATTTTCCGTGCAAGAATATCTCTTTCCTTGTGCATCCAGAACGACACAATATATTTGAAAAAGCCTATTCTTTTCTCCACACGCGGAAGTTTTCCTCGACTTTTTTCCGACAGCGAACTCAATGCAGTAAATTTTAGGAGCAAAACAGTTTGCTCCTAAAATGTATTGCATTGAATTGGCCATTTTTTTTCGTGATTGCCATGCAACGGTTTGCAAGAGGGGGAATGAAACTGACGTCCAATCCGCGTAAACCTGACGTTTGAGGGACTGAGACTGACGTCCAATCTGTGTGAAAGACTGGTATCGAGGCTTCATTGTTTTCACAATCAAATGACTGAATGTTATCATTCCAGATATATATATATATACGTAGAGTTCACTGACCAAAACCTGATAAAAACTTCCGGCTGTACTAGCCAGGATGGCGTGGATTGGCGTGAGCGAGTTAAAATTTTCGTGGACGTAAAACAATAAGGGAAACGACTAGAGTTACGCTTCTGCTCTATCTTCTTTA